AAAAGACATGCCGAAATTATATGTATCTATGGGGATATAGGTATGATGAAAAGAAGAAGGGCATTTATTACGATGGATATGAGAGGCCGGATGTGGTAAAATATAGAAAAGAATAGCTGGAAAGAATGTTTGGATACAAAAAATTTATGAAGGAATTCGAGGGTGATATGTTAGATGTTGTATTAGAACTTAAACTCAATCTAGGAGAAAAAGAACTTGTTCAAATGACACATGACGAGTGTCACTTCTATGCAAATGATAGATGATGGAGAGTTTGGGTTGGAAAGGAAGAAAGTATTTTACGCCCAAAACATTTAGGACGTTCTATAATGGTTTTCAGTTTCCTTTGTTCATGTCATGGACCATTACAACTAACCGATAAGCAATTACAGGAAAATCTACACATTAAAAATAAGGATGCTTATGTTCTTTATTCTGTACAAGCGGATGGATATTGGACCTCGGAACATATGATAGAACAGGTTGGTTAATTTTTTTTTTTATGATAAAGAAAAAAATTTTTTAAATGCTAAACTAACCTACTTTACCTTTATAATATAGCTTGTACAAAAAGCAATTCCAATATTTGAGGTATTACACCCTGGATGTATTGGCGTTTTTTGTTTCGATCAGTCAACCAACCACAATGCTATGGTAGAAGATAGACTGATTGCAACAAAAATGAATTTAGGACCTGAAGGAAAACAGCCTAAAATGCACGACGGGTGGTATATTAATGAATATGGAGATAAATATAAACAGTCTATGGTATTTCCAAATGACCATCCAGTAGAAAGCCTAAGAGGGAAACCGAAGGGAATAAAAAAAGTTCTTGAGGAACGTAATCTTTGGCCTAAGGAAAGGATTAATTTAGTATGCAAAAAATGTTTTGACAAGGATGTTGATGATGACTTAATAAGACAGAATTGTTGTGCGCGACGAATAATGTCTTTACAACCCGACTTTCTTGAGCAACGGTCAGCATTAGAAGAAAAAATTGTTGGATCAGGACATATTTTTGAACGGTACCCAAAGTTTCATTGCGAATGTAACTTTATAGAGCGGTATTGGGGCTTTGCGAAATGAGAGATTAGGGGTTATGTAATTACAATTATTCGGACCTATTAGAGCATGTTCCTAAGACTCTTAATAGCGTTCCTATTACGACTATTCGAAAGTTTGCACGTAAATCGTGGAGGTATATGGATGCATATGACAGGGGACTAGAGGGCAGGACCGCTGAATGGGCTGTTAATAAATACAAGTCACACCGTCGGTTACCAGAAAATATTGAAAGAATGATGGATGATTAGTAAGATAGTTATATGTATTATAATAAAGAAACAGATAAATACTTAGCTTTTATATCATTTTCTCCTTCACGGCAATATCTTTTTAATCTAACATTTAAGAAAAAAAAAACGTCGCGTGGCGTTGTTCTAAATTTAACCCCATTAATTACACAAAGTTATACAAAATCAAACATTTTTATTGGTCAGTTTCTTGTCACGTGATAAAAGATCATCGTCAAAAATTTGAAACAATTGTCGAGTTAAGACTTCTGGCACCATAGCTTGTTTTGATTTATACTTATTTGTTCGAATTTCGTCATCCAATGATTGATTCAGAATTTTCAGTAATTCAAACGATTGATACTCTTTAAGGTCTGCTTGAAGTTGATCGTTTTCACGGCCGAACTCTTGATTGATTTCCATTAATAGTTCATTACTTTCTTGTAAACTTTTATACTTCAAGGAAATCATTTGGAATTTATCATTAAGCTCATCTATTTGACGTTGAAGCTCGTCATTCTAAGCCTTTAATTTCTTGTTTTTGGCTTTAAAGTCTTAAAATGATCGTAAATGTAGTAATGTCATTAGAATGTAAATATTTCAAATAAAATAAATAAAATAATACAACAATACACCAATTACCATAATCTTCTGAACTTCGTGCTGAATCTCGGGTAGAGTTTTCTCGAGATGATGATTCTTGAGCGGATGTTTAAAGATTCGTGTGTAAATACTTAGTCGGTAGACGAATGTTTTGAATTGGGATTGGGTCTGAATGAATGATTGACGTAGTGCTTGAAGAAATGGAAGTAGTCTTCGAAGATGGAGATTGAGTGATTGGCGTAGTGCTGGAAGAAATGGAAGTAGTCTTTGAAGATGGAGATTGAGTGATTGGCGTAGTACTGGAAGAAATGGAAGTAGTTTTTGAAGATGGAGATTGAGTGTAAGTAGATTTCGAATGTGAAGATTAAGTGATTGGTGTATTAATCGATACTTCAGGAGAGGTAATCTCTGAAGTTGTTAAATTCAAGCTTCTTCTTATATCTGCAGGGATTTTGAGACAAAAGTGATCATTTTTCTTTGTATTTTGTTCTGAATCTTTTTTAGCTTGTTTTCCGTGTTGTTTCATATTTATAATTTGTGAAGATTTATTTAACAATTATAGCAAACTTTAGACTTCAAGAAAGAAGTAAAAAAAAATTTCAGTTGAAATGCTACTCTTTTTATATCTTTAGTCGATAAACTTTTTACTGCGTCAATCAATTAAAATCATATAGATTAAAAATAAACTTTTTCAATTAAAATCAATAAATTCATATATATAGTACATATTAAATATTATTAAATTAAAAAATAATTTTTTTGCTGCGTCAATCAATTAAAATTATATATAGTTCATATTAAATATCAATAAATCACGAGCCAAATATCAATTAGAATTAATTTACCTTTTTGGAAAACAATAGTTTATTTAATGATTCAATTTATATATATATATGGTTAATGTGACCAAAAACTTGTTTACTGAATCTACAAAATGACATGCAATAGAAAATTATCAAACATAATTGACGAAGATTCTCAACCAGTTACTAAAAAAACTAAAAGAAAAAGAGCAAAAGTTTAATATCACTACGGCAAATGCAAAGGAAAATTGGTTGATTCTCATACAAAAGCGAGACATGATGATGAATTTTCATTACAAATTTCTACTATGGATACAAGTTAAGAAGTTTATGAAGACATCGATACTGATGAATTATTACATTCGGTATCGAGTGTTAAAAATGAAGCTTTGATGCAGGATGTCGAACAGTCTGTTGATATAGAAGAAGTTCAGGTTATAACCGATGGCAATTCATATGATGATATTGATTTTGACTTTTTACCTCGAGAACATATTTCGAGATATACAAAACTTTTTGTGAATTTTGACGTTAATGTTTTTGAGCGATCTGAATCTGAACCCGAACAAAGCACTGATAATGATAGTGACGATTCGGTAAATATTGGGCTGAGTGAAATTTTTGAAGACTATTCATGTCC